TATTCTATTCTATTCTATTCTATTCTATTCTATTCTATTCTATTCTATTCTAAAAACGATCATTTTACTTCTTTACTTTAAAATCTAATACCTCATTACAAAATTAAATATGTTCACATTCATCATGAAATGAGTTGTTTCTGCACTCTAAAAATGATGTGTTGAATTTCCTCAACCAAGTCATATCAACTGGTTCTACTTAAACCAAGTAAATATAAAGAAATATGTATACTGCATCAAATTTACTTTGCTTGGTTTAGTGGAACCAGTTTGGTTAACCCCTTAACAGTCGCCCCTGAAATTTCTTTAAAAGCCTTTTGATTTGATTTTATTTTTTAAGGGTGTCAAACTAAAGGTAGAGAACCAGGGAAGTTGTCTGACACCCTATTTTCAAAATAAAAGCCCCCTGTAGCATCTAGAAAGTTTGAATGCAGAAACCGCACCGTTTTTGCCCAAATGGAACTAAAACTGTAGAGGTTATATAAATTCAACAGTTTATTTTTTAGAGAGTGTGTAAAAGTACTTTTATATTTACTTTTCTGATTTTTATGAACAGTTTTATGACTTTTATTTCATTGCTCATCAGTAAAATTTAGTTTTACCATTTATTTTCTGTTAAGGTATTTTTACTTTTACTTGCTGTTTTTTTCTTTCTTTCTTTTTGTCCCCCAAGTACTTTATGGATGTCTGGGTTTAAATTGTGTGAATTATGAGTTTAATTGTGTTTATCTGTTCTGTGAATCCTGTCATTTCAGGTCAACCTTTCAACAAACAGAAACATGACCCTGTTTGCTGCCATAATCTGACCCGGATAATGTGACTCTCAGAAACCCAGAGTCCAGCAGCTCCTCGGTTTCTTCCCTCTCCCAGTAAACGTCACGGTGATTGATCCCGCCGCTGAGTCCAGCAGGATCAATACTGTTTGTTTTCCGCTCACAGCGTTGTCCTGCTGCTCGGCTCCTCCGGGCCCCTGAAGCTGCGTTCAGGCAGCCGGTCAGGCTTCAGGAAACAAAACAAAAACACCTCCTGGGGGTTGACTTCACCCGAACTGTGCAGAGCGGGAGAGCATCCCTGTGTAACTGAAACTCTGTGAGCTTCACACAAATATGTTGCTTTTTTTAAACTGATCTGAAAGCAAAGGAATCATCTGTGAACTGAGCAACTCCTCATCTATACTCATTTTACATCTGATTAATGGGAAACTTTGATTTACATCACTTTATTTTGTTTTGGGGCCTTTTTAACCTTAGCATTTTTCAGACAYGCAAAAGCAATATCAGAAGTGAAAATTTAATAACAAATGTACAAAATAACAGAATTTTAGGCAGTAACTTRGATGCTGCAAACGTTCCCTATAAAAAAGAAAAACAGGCTTTTTGTCTCTGACCTAATGAGCAAATTTCAAACCAGCTGCAGACATGGTGAGCTTCTGGGAGTCTCTGCCTTCTTCTTCTGTGTCGTTCATTTGATTTACCTCCTCGTCTGTGGACTCATGTTCTGAGAAATACGGCCCAACATCGAGCTGAAATGAGCTACAATTGTTAGTAATAGCGCACGAGATCATCCGTCAGCACGTTTAACTGCTGAGTGTTGAGAAACACGACGGCTCAGCAGGTGCAGATTCAGAAGAGGAGTGGATTCTTTACTTTTTGTTTTTTAATTTCCTCAAACCTAAAATATAATATTCTAAATGTATCAGGCAAAAACAGAAAGGTTGTTTCTCATTTGTCTGATTGAAAATCCTAATGATATGGGGCGCCAAGAGTAAGATAAAATGTAAAAAAAAATCACTAACAGTTTTTTATTTAGCTAATTTCTTTGTTGTATATATATAATATGTCTTGTAGAGAAGCTTTTAGCTGCATTGGCGTGCTAGCTATTCTTGAAATAAGAAAAAAATGAGTCAAATCAAGTATTTCAAGAATCTTACCAAGTAAAATTTTCTTACTCCATTGGCAGAATTTTTTTTACTTGATTTGAGTCAAATTTTCAGACTAACAAGACAAATAATCTTTCACATTCTGAAAACAAGATTATTATTCTGACACAATCAGTTCTTGTTTAGTAAATCAGTCTCAAAAAAAAGATCAAAAAGACTTTTTGGCTGAATCTAAGATTTTAAAACTTGGTTAGGTGGACATTTTTTTGCTGTGGTCATGTGGTAACCAGCAGGGGTCGCACTACCTTTAAAAAGCTTTTACATTTAGGTGTAAACATTTAGATTTAGGATGTGAGATTTTAAAAAATATGTTTTAACATTTAAATTTAACATTTAGTAAAAAAAAATAGCTAAATAGCAATAAAATGTAAGTGGAAAATGTGTTAACACTAAAAAGTGAGTTAAATAATGATAAATGCTAGTGAAAAAAAAAAACGTTTAACATTTTATTTTATACTTGGCACCCCATATAACAACAGCAGAAAAAAGTTAGCCTGAAAGTCTTAAATAAAACTTTATTAACAAAACGTTGAAACAAAGTTAAATTCATCTTTAATCAAAATGCCATTTTGCAGACTCATTTGTCTTGTGTTTATACGTTTTTTAAACTATATTCAGAAAAAAAAATCAGTTCATTAATTAGAGAAAGCAATTCTTTAAATGCCTCTTTAATCATTGTGTTAAAAAAAAACAAACAGTGAATGATTTATGAATCTAAAAACCCCTCGTGGTCCCGGGCTGGACAGCCACATCTCATTTAGCTCCCCTCACCTGGTTCACTGCCAGTTAGGCCCACATCCTCTCTGCAGAGCTGATTAGAGGCCCGTTCCTGGAACAGAGGACGACACAAGGTCGACACGTTCTCCGCCTGCCAGGAGAGCTCTGACATGTCGTCTCTGCAGCCGAGGCAGAGGCTGCAGCTCGATGAAGACGGATGGTCTAATCCTGCTGGTGGAGGGGACGCTGGTTTTACTGGGTCGCTTCGTTTTATCTGATAATCACAAACTGATCAGCAGCTGTGTGCTCTGGAGAATCACAAACATCAACATTAACTCAATAAGTTTAGGCCAAATCTTGATCCCTGATGTTTTCTAAATTTTAATTAAGAGTAAAGACAACTGAATTTCAAAAAATGGCTGAGAGAATTACACGTTTTGTCGTTTTAGTGTCACTAGAGGGCATCACACAGCAGTGGAAATTTTTCACTTTACTGAGACTTGCTGACTTTTTCCACATCAAGAGAAGCTTTTCATACGTGCAGTACGTGCTGAAAGGCAAGCCTGGGTTTACTGAATGCCTGGTATAAGAAAACATGATGAATCAGTCGCTTGATGAGTTTTAAGACGAGAAGAAGTCCAGAAAAGTGTCTGTTTTTTTTCTCTAAAAGGCCGTCAGTAACTGAGACAAGTTGCCTAGTGTATAATTTAAAAACTAAAAGCAGGAGATGTTGGAACAAACTTGTGAAATAAGTGAAATTTCCTCCAGACTTTAGTAAGAAGATGAAAACAGGAAGTGAGACTTTAAGTGTTTGTACAGCCTTAACTGCAGAGAGACAAATGTCAGACAGGACATTTGAATTATTAATCGGTTGTCTAAACTCTGATGTTGTTATGGAAACAAACCCCCTCCCCCCACTTTCTTTCTCTTTTAGATAAAACACGGCGGCGGTATAGATTGAGGCCACTATCAGTCCGGCTGGAATGCACCCCTGACCAAAAACAAAGACTTTATCGAGCTGAATTTTAAATAAACTCTGTCTAAAATCTGTTGCATCATGAGAGGCGTGTTCGCTCACAAAGCTGGCTTTTTGTTGCCTTTATGGTGTTTTGTCAAGACCTGTTCAAGCAGCTGAAACACGGTGAAGCCACACACTGTGTTGCACAAATATTCCTGAACGTGTTGCAATCTGACAGGGGTCCATTTGTAATCCAGATTAATGTCACAGTGTTATGGACATAATTCATATTTTTTACTCTCTGAACCTAAAACAAATGTAAAACTATATATTTAGCAGACCACTTGACACAGCATATTTACTTAAAACTTTGTTTCCAACTTTCAACCCTGCTTGCTTGTCTGTTATCAAAATATCTATAATTGAGATTTAATTACTGGATGTTTTTAATGAAACCTTAACTAACAGGTTGTGGTGTAGATACATGGGTTCCTGGGGAGGGGACTGTGTTGTAATTAAACTAACATTTTTATGTATTTATATTGAACTGTTTGTTTTATTCAGTGCTCCATATTGTCTTTGTGGTGACCTCAAATAGCCCTGCTGAGGAACTACTTTTCCTGGCGGAGGAATGTTTCTATAAGATAAGGCGGAAACAAAGGATCTTAATGCATCATATTAAATCTGTAGTTTAAAGAAGAGTTCTGGTGCATTTCCAAACTTTTCTCTAAAGGAYGAGGAGTTTTATAATGAAACATTTCTTTGACTAGAAGCTCGCGTGACCTGGAAGTTCGGTCAGAGAAGGGGGCGTGGCTCCAGCGGCCCACCGCTGGAATAAAAAGACGTGGCTCCGCTTCGGGCGTCTCTCTTTCTATCAGCATCTTCAGGCGCAGGAAGCGTTTGCTCAGGTGAATTTTCCTGTTGTTTTTTAATTTCTTAGGACTTGAATAAGTTTTTATATTTTGTTTTATGTTGTTGTTTGAGTTAAAAGTGGGAGGAAGCTTTAAAAAGTGAATTTCTTGGAGAACCTTTGTTTGACGCGAAGCAGGAAGCTGAAACCGCCTTTCAGCTATTTCCTGTTTTATATCACGTACGCATGTGCTGTGGAAATAAGTTTGCTTAGTTTCTTACTTTTTTTTTCTCTTTTCTTTAGTGAAGACAAATTCAAATCAGACAAAATGGTGAAGATTGGAATCAACGGGTAAGCTCATTTATGTTTTTGCTTTTGTTAGAAAAGTTTCCATACAGGCCTTTATTTAATTATGGTGCACTTTTAAAAGCTTTTTGAGCTTTTCAAAAAACAATCTTTTACATTTCATTAAGACCTATTTGTACACGACTCCAGGAAGCATCACATTTAAATTTAAAAATCTGGAAAAGCAAACAGCTAGAGAAGTGGTTGGTCTGTTTTTCTTTTTATTAGAAAGCATTTTTATAGCTAAAAAGTAACAAAACGCTACTTTTTAAAGGTAAACTATACCTAAAACTAGTGTAACACTAGATCAAAGCATCAACAATGGCCATAATAAAAGCAAACCTGTAATAGCTTGCTAAAAGTTAGCTTAAACAACTAATCTAAAATGTGAGATTCTGGCTTTAAAATAGCAAAACATTAGCTAGAAGCTAAAACTTGAAACTAAAAATCAAGCTAAAATAAAAGAAATCTAGCATAAGGAGATTAAACTAGAACCAGTGTTCTGAAGCAGATTTCTATAAGAAAATAAGGTTTTTAAGGAATTAAAGATGTGCTTTTTTTGTAGAAATATTTGCAATAAAGTTAAATATTAGGAAAGCTCAAAGTTATAATAATGACGTCATAGAAACCATCCCCAGAATGAGCTGCACGTTGAAGTGAGTCTACAGGAAGTGCTGAGTCATCATCCATGTGACCTAACAAGTTGTGGGCTTGATGATTTCTAGATTGTTCTCTCAGGTTTTGAGTCTGAGCTGCACTCGCCTGCTCTCTGGTTCTTTCACCTCCTCTGTCTGGATCCCTGTTCTCTCTCAGTCGCCACATTCCTTTGATTTTACCCTCTGGTCTAAATTTAACTCCAGACTTTCTGAGGTGCACAAACTGCAGACTCTGAGACACAGATGTTGTTGTGAAGCAGCTGCAGCACTTGGGAGGTTTTAGTTTGTTCGACCTGAACCGGAGCAAACGCCAGCTCCTAAACAAAAGGATGGGCTCCGGTCCATGTTGGCCCGCCGGCTTACCAAAACAAACCCAAGGGAAACTGAACTGGCATGTCCCATCATGCCCTGTGAGCACAAACTGTCAGCTTTTATCACTCAGAATTAATCCTGTTTATTTTATAATTCTGAAAACTTTCAGTCAAGTGTAAAAATCTGAATTAATACATATTTATGATTAAATAAACTCTGCTGCCAAATAAAGCGGATTTTATTCTGAAGAACAAAAACTAATGAGGAACTGTAGATGCAGCGGCTGGATGAAGAAACTTTAGGGAAGATAAAAGATTTGTTTTTACTTCACTTTGAAATCAGAAGATGACCTCAGGTTCAAATTTAATTAGCTTTTTCCAGCATATTCTGCATATTTTTATATAAAAATCAGAACACTTCACATTTTTTCCTGATCTCTTTCAACCTACCTGTGCATCTCCTGCACGTTTATCTTATTTTTAATTGTGCAAATATTAAGAGTTAATGCTCTTTGGTCACATTACTTTAACGGTGAGTTTTAATGAGCATACACCAGATTTGTGCCCCTGTGTTCACCCATCACTCCAGGTTCAKCTTTATAAATATTACCATTTTAGGTGTAAACAGGCTTTTAGGGTCCATGCTCATCTTCACAGCCGATGGGCCTTTTATGGCCTGCTTGTCTGTTCTGCTGCTGTTTTAATTTAGGATTTAGTGCCACCTGCTGGATGAAAGAGAAACTTTTATTTAAAATGACTCATTTGCCTTGCAGCTAAAGCTTTTATCTTAAGGTTACAGTGAAAGTTCCAAATAATTCTTCTTGCATCACTTTATTTAAGAGGACCTCTCTAAAGAGCCGATCTGCCTTTCAGATTTGGACGTATTGGCCGTCTGGTGACCCGCGCCGCCATCGCTGGAGGCAAAGTTCAAGTCGTGGCCATCAACGACCCCTTCATCGACCTGGAGTACATGGTGAGCAAATCTGGAAAATCTGCAGCTTTTGTTCAGTTCTGGAGACGTTTGGCTTTGCTGGTTTTCAGACTCGACGGTGCACGTGGAATTAGATTTTAAAACCAGCGACTGCTTCATTCTTGTTGTCTCTCAGGCCTACATGTTCAAGTACGACTCCACCCATGGCTCTTGGAAGCAAGGAGAAGTGAAGACAGAAGGTGGCAAACTGGTCATCGGCAACCATAAAATCACGGTTTTCCAAGAGTACGTCACGCTCCAAAGGTTAGACGCTCGTCCTGAGTAGTCTGGATTCTCAATCCTTTTTCTGTGAACCACGCAGGAGAGACCCGGCCAACATCAAGTGGGCCGACGCTGGAGTGGATTATGTTGTGGAGTCCACCGGTGTGTTCACCACCATCGAGAAGGCTTCTGTAAGTTTATCAGATACTTTGTCTTTTTTTTCTTTTACTTTTCTTTATTCTTTCTTTACTTCTTTCTTTTTTCTTTAGTTTTTTTCTTTTTCCCATACTTTCTTTTTTTTCCGTACTTCTTTTTTTTCCGTACTTTTTTCTTTTTTTCCCCCTTACCTTTTTTCCCCCCATACTTTTTTCATTTCTCAGGAGAAAAAAAAAAAACTGTCTTCATTTTGAGCAACGAAAAAAAAAAGTGATTTGTCACCACATCAAGCCAATTTGCTCCCATTAGGCTCACCTGAAGGGCGGAGCAAAAAGAGTCGTGATCTCCGCTCCCAGTGCCGACGCCCCCATGTTCGTCATGGGCGTGAACCACGACAAGTACGACAAGTCCATGAAGATCGTCAGGTGAGCTTCTGCTGGTCCCGTCTCTGCAGTTAGCTGCAACTCTGGATGTTAACATTTTCCTCCTCTTCCTCGCAGCAACGCTTCCTGTACAACCAACTGCCTGGCTCCCCTGGCCAAGGTCATCAACGACAACTTCGGCATCGTTGAGGGTCTCATGGTAAGAAGGTCCAACTGAAATGACCCGTTTAGCTCGGCRTCCTGAGGTTCTGCCGTGGATGTTGATGTTTGTTTCCATCCAGAGCACCATCCACTCCGTCACCGCCACCCAGAAGACGGTCGACGGTCCCTCGGGTAAGATGTGGAGAGACGGGCGAGGGGCCGCCCAGAACATCATCCCGGCCTCCACCGGCGCTGCCAAGGCTGTGGGCAAAGTGATCCCTGAGCTGAACACGTAAGTTCGATCCCTCCACCTGGTTTTTCTAAACCTAGTGCAGATTTAAGGAAGCAGGCTGTTCTAAAAATGACATTCTGTCCAACAGAAAGCTGACTGGTATGGCTTTCCGAGTCCCGACCCCCAACGTGTCTGTGGTCGACCTGACTGTCCGTCTGGAGAAGCCTGTAAGAGTCTCGAGAAACCTGAAGTCTCACTTAACATGATTTTATTTATTTATTTCTAAACTTGGGTTTTGGGACATCGTTTGAGCCTTTTTTTTTTTTTTTTTTTTTTTTTTCAGGCAACGTATGATGACATCAAGAAGGCTGTGAAGGCGGCTTCTGAGGGACAATTGAAGGGAATCCTGGGATACACAGAAGATCAGGTACAAAACAGAGTCTTTTTAAAAATTTTTTAGACAAATTTAAAATGGTTTGATGCTGGAATTTAGCAGATGGAAGCACATTTTCTAAACGTTCATTTTCTGTAATCCGGGGCTATTTAACCGATGGCCCGCAGTTCGGATGACTTCCATCTGGCCCGCCAATGAGACCCACCCAAAAAAAACAATTTTTTTTGTTCAACTTAATATAAATAGATTTAAAATCATTTGTAAATGTAAAATTTGTTTTAATGCAACAAAATGCATTTTAAAGAGTGAAATTGTTCTGCTACATGTTGCAGTTTTTCACCTACCATTAATGGGCAACCCACCCCCWCACAGGCCCCCCGAGCTGTGGGCTTCGAGTAGCCCCGTCCCCTGTAGCGATATTTGACACGCCCTGCTGTATCTCTTTAAAACCAAACCAGTGATTTGGTTTTTGTTGTCTTGGTTCTAACTCTGTTTCCTCTCAGGTTGTGTCGACGGACTTTAACGGCGACAGTCACTCCTCCATCTTTGATGCTGCAGCTGGCATCGCTCTGAACGACAAGTTTGTCAAGTTAGTTTCATGGTAAGTTGTTTAATTAATTACAGACTAAACTACAAAGTTAGACATTTTTTTTGTAATCTGATTAACATCCTTGCAACTGTTTTCTGTTTTTAGGTACGACAATGAGTTCGGCTACAGCAACCGTGTGTGTGACCTGGTGCAGCACATGTTCTCCAAAGAGTAACTTTCTGCTTCCTTGTCCTGAAATCTGTAACTGGATGCTCTGACCTCCAGAGCAATCCTCCTTTTGTTAAATTAAATTAAAATATTTCAGCATCAAAGATTGATCAGATTCTCCATCACTGAACTCTAAACTACTGAATAGTTTTATTGCACTTCACCTCTTGTCCACCTAGAGTTTTTTTTCTGAATGTTTAATAAAAACCTTTGGGATGAACGACTGACTGTTTTTTAATGCAGCATTTAAATCACAAATGATCAACCCAAGTGAGAAAAATCAAGACCGAAAACCTCAGATGGAGCTGCAGAAGTGTTTTTCAAACAATAAAAGCTGAAAATGAGCAGAGATTTGTTCTGTGATACTTCGTTAATAATAATAAAAAAAATGCATRTACAAATTTAGGGAGGAAAAAAAGTCTTGATTTGTGTATAACTAATTATTTACAGTAACAAAAAAATGAAGTTAAAAATTTTAGATTAGCTTTAAAGAGACCAAGCTTGTGAATTGTATTTAAGGCCCACAGTTTAACCTTTACTAAACCCTAAAGCAAACTAAATTTCTCCAGGGGCCACAGTTGATKCAGGGCAGGCCAACGGTTGAGGGACCGAACATCCAGCAATTAAGGCTATTTTGTAAATCAGAGGTTCTCAAACTGGGGTCCGCAAGTTGTATCTTGGGGGTCCTCAAAAAAATTCTATAAATTCTTGATTTGATTTTTTTAAAATATGCATATGGGGAACAATGCACTAGTAAACAAAAACAATTACTATGGAATTTAGGGTTTAAAACGACAGCAAATTATTTTTAAAACAGCATGGGTTTTATGAGGGGGGTCCCTGGAAATTTTTCACCCTTGTAAGTGGTCTCCAGACCCAAAAAGTTTGAGAACCCCTGCTGTAAATAAACCAAGTGAAGATCTGTTAACTTTTGAAACGGTTTMTTTTGCTGGATTTAATCATGAATACAACATACATAACCCTATGTAATAACAGCCGTGATAATAAAACAAAAATAACACATTATTTTGAGATCTCTGACTTGCCAAAATTTTAAACCAATTTTATTTTCACTCTCATAGTTTTATCTTCAACTGTTTGTAGTTTTAACTCTGTTGGATGTTCTTAGAAATGAGATGAGTGAACCAGTTGGCAGGCCGAACTTTGGTCACTCGTGGGCTGGATGTGGCCTGCGGGCCACCAGTTGAATAGCCCTGCCCTAAAACATGTTTTGGTGTTTGAAGTCACAATCTTGTTTCTGAATCTATTTCCTAAAGGATTAGTTCATTACACAGCGCAAAAAATGGACACAAAGCATTTTGAGCTTAATGCTGAGTTATATATATATATATATATATACACACACACACACACACAATCCATTATGTCTAGAACTCAGTGGGGGGGTGCAGCGAAGAAAAATAGTCTACCAGCATCCTGTAAACTGCCTGAAAAAGTTTCCCTTAGAGGACAATAAAGTATATCTTATTAGATCATATAAGCTTAGAGAAAAAGTCAATGTATACAGTTGTGTTTACCCTCTACTTTGTGAATTACGGTAATGTCTGCCTACTCTCAGCGACATTACGGTAAAGTTCCGCCGCAGTCATTCACTTGTGTTTATTTCTGGTCTCTGCAGCAGCGCAGCTTCGCTCTGGTTTTTACCTCTTTGATCTGGAAGCAAAATCCGCGTTTCCTCCTCAGACTAACAGGTAAGGTGCATAAATGTTCATTAAAAAAGAAAATAGTATTCCCTTTATGATTTTATTGTAAAAACATTTTTATTTTCTGCGCGTCGCCGCTGCTGTGTCTCTGCGTAAAAGTAAACAGATGTGATTTTGCTGCAGGRTGCAGCTGGGCTCCTGAAATTAGAAACATTTATTCTTGAAGGTGCGACATCAGTAAAGATTTGCTGCTTTTGTTTGCTTGTTTGTTGCTGCAGAGACCCATCAGATCTGGGTTTAGTCCGCGGTTCTCCTTCCTRAAGAGGATCTGGTTAAAACTGAGGAAAACRGACCCTGCAGGTCCTGGTTCCTGTTTGGATTTACAGACTTAGTGTTGAATCCATAAAAGTCTGGGTTCATGCCGGATTTCGAGCATTTCAGATTTTCCTACTCTAGAATGAATCCTGTCCTGGGGGAGAGCAGCTTCTTGGCTCCGCAGCAGCACCACCAGATGACGGGACAAACCGACTCCGCCATCCCGGATCCAGGGTACTTCCTGTGGGATAACGGCGGCCCCGGGCCCGATGGGTTTTCCGGGCTGGACCTGGGCGCTCTGCCTCCGTCCTCGGGCCTRGCCTACCTGCACCTGAGCAGCCCCCTGCACTGGGGGCCCCCGGCGGCCACGGCGCTGCGYAACGACCTGGGCTCCAACATCAGCGTGCTGAAGACCCTGAACCTGCGCTTCCGCTGCTTCCTGGCCAAAGTGCACGAGCTGGAGCGCAGGAACAAGGTGCTGGAGAAGCAGCTGCAGCAGGCTGTGGACAACAACAGCGGGGAGGGGGGCCATCAGAAGCCCCTGACCAAAAACACAGGGGTCCAGACTGGATTTGTTGGACCGATTCCAACCAGACCCAACTTCATCCCGCTCCACAACTCCAACAACCCGGCCTACCTGCCCGGAGGCCTCCTCTCCCCCACCCTGAACCCMCCTCCACTCCTCCTGGGAAACAACCTGAACACGGACTCCAACTCCAACCTGACCGCCGGGTTCGGTTCCTCCAGCAGCCCAGGTCTGAGTCCCAGCGACCCGACCAGAACCAACATCAACGAGAAGCAGGCTTCTTTCACAGCTCTGCCCCCGCCGCMGCGCTTCATCCCCGGAACCATCTGGTCCTTCAACCACAACCGCCGCTTCGGCACCGGCCCGTGCGCCACGGGGCCCGGGGTCTCCTGGACGCACCCGGACGGTGTGGGGGTCCAGATCGACACCATCACCCCTGAGATCAGGGCCTTGTACAACGTGCTGGCCAAGGTCAAGAGAGAGAGGGACGAGTACAAGAGGAGGTAATAAGAGTTGATTTTTTTTTATTATTTTAGGTCAAATTTTGAACCAAATGAATCTGAAGTTTGTGATTTTTGGTAAGTTTCAGGATTCTTTACATCTTTTCTGTTGTTATTTTATTTGAAGTTTATCTCAGAGTTCATCTTAGAAGCTGAATGACGTCATCCATTGGATGCTATTAGTCTGAAAAGGCTTTTTTTTTTACAGTAAATTCATCAGTGTCAGGCGTAAATGACAGAAATTTGTTCTGCTGACTTTTATCACARCTCTGCTGTGTGAAAACACTGACTTTACTACTTCGTGATGCTGCTGATGCTGAATGTTTTCTCAGAACAAACCTTCAGACACATCAGTTTCAGCAGCAGGACTGAAAAGCAATTTCACCAATGAGTGTGTGTTTTTTTCAGAGCACCTGTTTCACTTATCATCACCTGTGTTCGTGTGTCAATCTGTTGAGTGAAACTTTCAGGAAGTAATCATTGGATGTACGTTTTTTGGGGCCGTTTGTTTTGGTTTCAGGGGGTCTCTGAAGTCTAAATTTACAAGTAAATAATTTATTTTAACAAAGTCAGACTTTACAATCAACACGGCAACTGATAAAACTTTACACGTCAAGTTAAAAACCTAGAATTTAGAAAGTTTTATAATAGCCTTTGTTCATTTTTAAACTAAATTAGTAATGTGCTGCCTTCAATTGGTGGCTCATGGGCCAAATCTGCACACAGGTTCACTGTATCTGGCCTGTGAAGTGTTACATTTAAATTCCATCTGATCACCTGTGCAAAAATAGTCATTTTTACTGATCAGGTGATCTTTGATTAGGTTCTAAAGTTGATCTATTAAACACCCGTTTGTCTGATTTTATTTTATTTTTTTTACAAGTTATGAGTGAAAAAAAGGATTAAGAATCTGTTAAGCTTAGAGACAAATATTAAACTTCCATGTTGATGAGTAGAAATTTGAAAACTTAGCTGGACTAAAACAAAAACAATAACTTAAAAACAAACTACGGTGAAGGTTTTTCTCCCACTGACATTTTAAAATTCTAAGTTTAGATGATTAATTATGTGGTAATTATGCTCTCATGCACTATTTTTGAAGGTGATTTCTGTATCAGATTAAATTTAAACTGAATACTTCACAGGCCTGGTACAATGAACTCGTGTGCAGATATGGCCCAGGAGCCAGCAGTTGAGGGTAGTTTGAAAATGAATAAAGCTGTAAAAACACAGATGCTATTTTCGCTCTTCTTGTTTTCTATTCTTTATCCTTCCTCCATCCATCTTTTCCTCCTCCTCCTCCTCCTCCTCCTGCTGAGTTTGGTTTTGCTACCTGCATTGCAGCAGTGGCCTGTGACACTCAGCAGTGATGTAACCCAGGCTGCCACCTCCCTCATCTCCTCTGCCTCGCTCACCCTCCGAACATTTCCTCTTCTCCAGTTTTCAGAGCTCCTCTGTCCTCCCGAAGCTGCCTTCTCGTGTTAATTTTGCTCCTCTCCTTCATCTCGACAGCTCTTCTCCTGTTCCGTCGGATTTAAAACATGAAAACTAAGATGCTAAAYGCTGTCTCTGCTGGTTAAAGAGGGCAGTAAGTGTTGGCTTTAGTTGCACAGTCAGTGTTGGCTCCTGTGATCGATGAACTGTGGTGATGACTCCAGCGAGAGACAAACATCGATCTGATTTCTGCTCCTTTTAGTCTTGGCTCCACTTTTCCTTTTCTGTTTATTTGACCTGCAGCCTGTGTTTGATCACAGCTCTGCTGTTAATAGTCACATTAATCTCAGTTAAATGGTGAACATTCGATTAGCAAGCTTCCAATGAACCAGAAAACACCCATCTGCTCTATAATATTAAAAAAATAAGAGCAGAAATTTCACAGAAATCCCCAATCCACATTTTCTTCACCAGAAGCTGAATGATCCCACTGCTGTGTTCAGTTTGTTGTAATTAAAGCTGTTAAAAACGTGACGTTAGTCTCTGCAGCTCTCAGCTCCAGTCTCATAAAGTTCTTGAAGTCATCGTTTTAAGCAGCAGCTCTGACGTCATCAGTGACGAAGCAGCAGCTGCTGYGGGTTCAGTCAGGTTTCATCGACAGCTTCACTGCAGAGACACGTGTCGAGACTTTCAAACAGACCCGAGTCGGGGACATCAGGTCTGTCCAGCTGTCTGAGGGACGCCGTCCTCACTGACTCTGCTCACTGAAAACACAGTTTTCTGATCAGCATTTGAGTTGGGTTCCTTCATAGGTTTTAGTTTTAGTGTGCCGTTAAAAAGCACGTTGATCTTTTTTTTTTCCCCTGGAAATGCACCAGCAGAGTTCTAAATTAGCCAACCTGCTCATGTTTTTTGGTCCTGGTCACATCATTTCCTGATAAATGTCCCACTTTAGAGCTCTGAATGCAAACAGCTTCTTATTGATTCCTTTAATAGATTCACACAWGTCGCTCAGTTTTAGCTTTTTTATGTTAGACTCAAGATCTGTTTATAAAAATCTGAGTAATTAGATTTATTTCATTAGATTGTCAAACTTGTTTTTTTTATCATAAAGTAAAGAACATCAGTCATGACAAGCTTTGTGCAATTTGTTGAAAAAACATCTAAGTTTCATTCAGTACCCTGAAAAAGKTAATAAAATAAAATAAAATATCAGTAAACCCCAAGTGTTAAATCTATAAATAACATTTTGAGTAATAATAATGGTATTGGTATATTTGCAGTCAGAACGTTTTAAAATGAAAGTTCCTGATTATAGAGGACCAAATCTGACATAATTAAAAATTAAAGCAGAAACTGTTTATATAAATGGATAAATATATTTAAAATGCAACAGCTAAATTAAAAAAGGAGAACTTTACCTCATGTTTTATAATTTAACTGACCTTTATATTTATTTTTCCAGCTTAGTTCCAAAAAATTATGATTTAGCACATAATTAACATTTTACTGTTATTATAAATATATATCGTTTGTTTATCCTTTGACTTGTACATGCATTTATATCACTTAAATGATAATATTTAATTATTTTTTTATAATTTTTCCCATGAGTCTTTGTGTTGTTTTTTCTGTCTCCTGTTTTTATTTTACCTTGTGCATTTCTACCTCATTATGCATATAAGGTGGGCGGAACTTCTTGGGTCATCTCCGCTCCTATTGGTCAACAGACAGGAAGGAGCAGGATCCATATGCAGATCTACTGTGCTTGTTCTGCCGCAGTTTAGCTTAAAGTTTAAAGCTTAGTTTAAAACAAAGGCAACACTTACCTGTACCTTTGCTTTTGTTTGTTTTTATTGCATTTTAAATGTATTTATTTATTTATTTATTGGTCCATATTTCTGCTTTTATTTCTAATTGTATCAGTTTTGGTCCTCCAGACATGATGTGGAAGTTCTGCTTAATTACCTTAGCCACTGCTTTTTTATCTGCAGTGAAAACTTCTGTTTTTGTTTGTTTCCAGGTGGGAGGAAGAGTACGCAGCCAGGATGGACCTGCAGGAGAAACTGGTTGAACTGGAAGAGGTTTGTTACTATTTCACAAATTCATTAAAAATACATTAATGTTAATTTAAAGTTACTTTTATAGAATCATCTCATGATCAGTGCATCTTTTTTAATCTTGTGACCCGATGAGATACATCTGTTTATCCTGAGCAGATATCGATGGCAGACATGTTCATAGTTTGTGGGTGTTGCAGGACCTGCAGGAGAGTGAGGTGTGCCAAGATGAGCTGGCTCTCAGAGTGAAGCAGCTCAAAGCAGAACTGGTTCTTTTCAAAGGACTCGTCAGCAATGTGAGCTTTGTTTTAATTCAAAGTATAGAGTGAGATGTGTAGAAAAGTTGGGGCAGGGTCAACACTTTTACTAGTTTAGACACATTTCAGAAGCCCTTATGGTTTGATTTGGTTCTACCWCCACGTTTCCCCCTCAGGACCTGTCAGATCTGGACAGTAAGATCCAGGAAAAGGCCATGAAGGTGGACATGGACATCTGCCGGCGCATCGACATCACCGCCCGCCTGTGTGACGTCGCCCAGCAGAGGAACTGCGATGATGTCATCCCCATCTTCCAGGTACGTCCTCGGCCACGTCCGTCCTCCTGGACTCCCTCGCCTCAGCTGTTAAACACACACATGTTGTCCCCCCCCACACACACACACTCACACACCATCAGGTGCCCACGCCCCCCTCCACGCTGAGCCGATGCAGCAGGAAGCTGAGGGACGGAGACGAGCTGAGCGTGTCGGAGAGCGAGGGAGGCAGAGACGAGGAGTCGTGCAGCACGTCGGCCAATCAGATCAACGAGCAGATGCAGAGGATGCTGAATCACCTGTAGGTGTTTATTTATTTATTTTTATTTTTTTATTTGAGTGAGTTCTAAACACACCGACGTTTTGTGCAGGAGGGAGTGTGAGTTCGAGGATGACTGTGACAGTTTGGCCTGGGAGGAAACTGAAGAAACTCTTCTGCTGTGGGAAGATTTTCCTGGATGTTCACTGGGAGTCGAATCACAAGGMGAGGTGCGCATGCACGTTTTTATTTTTCCTTCGGCGTGTCCCTCTGTGGAGCCCGCGAAGATCCAGGTGTGGAAATAAATCCACGTGTGCAGTTCGTTCAGCGTCCCGCGTGGATCTGCTCACAGATCTGTTTCGACCTCGTCAAATGATCCGGTGAACGAGTTGTTTTTAGGCCGATGCTGTAACGAGGTGCAGCAGGTTCAGGTGTGTTCAGGCTCATGGTATTCTGTTTCCTGTTGAGCTGTAAGCTGTTTAAGCTGATAATCCAGCAGAAAGTGAACAACATGCTGAGTTAAAGAGCAAACAGAGCAGCAGCTCGGAGTCATCTTGGATACGGAAGAACCATTTTAGTTTTACTGAATGAAACAAAAATGTTATTTTTATAAAATGCCATGTTTTATAAATGTAATACCTAAAGTAACTCTTTATTAAAGTTCACATTATAAGTTTCTTATTTAATCTTATTATAAATAATAATCAAACATTACATGAAAATTTTCTAATTGCTGCTCAAGATTTTGGTCAGAAGCTGAAAATATTGGATTTATTTGGGTAAAAATGTTCTTTTTCTTTTTTTAGGAGCAGATGAGATGAAAACAGATTAGAAAATGAGTTTCAAACAAACAGCTGCTGTTAAGAAACTAATAATAACCACAGGTTTAAAATAAAAATTAGATTTTGCTTCCAGTTAAGAGGTGCCCAAAGTGGGGCCCGTGGGCCAAAAATGGCCCACCAAGATATTTGATTTGGCTCGCCACCCAGATTATTAGGCTGTAATCTCATGTCATCCTCTGCACATGAGCACACATGTAGATTTGCACCTTTATTAGAACATAAATACTCATATTTTATCATTTTACCAAATGTCCCATGAGCCTTTGCTGCTTGAGTTTGCATCTAACTTTCTCCATGGGCCTAAAAAATAGACTTAATCATAAAAATAAACAAACTTTACTTAAAAATCTAGTTGCATTTCACGTATATTATTGCGTTTGACCTGCAGCTCTCAAATAAAATATAATTTTGGCCCCCTCAGGGAAAAAGTTTGGGCCCCCCTGCAGTAAAGTTTTCAGTAAAGACGACTCTTTGAAACACTGACTGAGTTTAAAATGTTTGTCTCTCTGCAGGAAGAATCCATTGAGAAAGTGATCAAAGACACAGAGTCTCTGTTTAAATCCAGAGAGAAGGAATACCAGGACACCATCGACCAGATCGAGGTGAGGCGCTGAYGTTGGGTCAGAAACAGACGCCGCAGTGAATAAAGCTCACCAGTAATAATCCGATCGGTTCTGCTCTGTTCTGCTCAGCTGGAACTGGCCACGGCCAAGAGCGACATGAACCGCCACCTGCACGAGTACATGGAGATGTGCTCCATGAAACGAGGCCTGGATGTGCAGATGGAGACCTGCAGGAGGCTCATCACGCAGAGCGGGGACAGGTGAGGCCGGGCGAGTTTCCCTCAGGAGGAACCCTCGTTTCATCTTTTACGTTTCATGTTTGTTGTGTTACAGGAGGTCCACGTCCCTCATCTCGCTGACAGCAGACGACTCTGAGAACGAGGAGGAGAGGAAGAAACCGGCTCTTCCTGCCAACTCTGACATCAGCAGCGGTTCCTGCTGCAACCTGAACGCTGCCGTGKCTCCGAAGAGCTGGAGAAAACCCTGACACACACATTCTGCTGGGTCTCCCTCTGACCCTGCAGACCGACAGAAAAAACCTGCGTCGGTGATATCCGGTGACTTAGAGTAGACGTGTTTTTAAAAGAACAGATTTCTCTTTTCTTTTGTTGATCCAAAACATGTCAACTCATCAAAACGCAGCTAAAGAGAACTTTGACTTTGTTTTCTGAAATTAAATTAGATTCGTTCAGTTTCATATTTTCTGAGAGAGAATTTGAAGAGCTTTGGTAAAAGATAAAACCGTCTTTCACTGGATGCATCTCTGCTGCCCCTTGTGGTTTCTTGCTGTAAATGGAACGATGCACTTTAAAATATATTTTTCATTTTGAACTCCTGGCTGAAATAAGAAACACATTTATTTTCACAAGTTTTTTGCACAGTTTAAAAAGCAACAGAAAAGCAATCATGCACAAAAAATGTAGTTTGCACAGGTTACTTTTTATTTTTTGTTAAGAGTAATCATTTTTTATGAATGTTTGGATGGAAAAATTCACAGAAACTAAGAAAAGTTGAAACATTTAGCTTTTTATAATCAGTTTGCCTTAAGCTTCAATCCAGCATGAAAATGTTTAAACAGTTTTAAACATGAAAAGTTCAACAGAAAGGCACAATTTCATATTTTGGGGATTTTTTTATTTTTCTCAGTTTGAGCAGAAAGTTGCTAACATGAATATTTTTTTTGCCATTTGTTAGATAATATTAGATATTTTTGTTTGTTTTCTGATGTGCTGTTAAAATGAATAATTGTACTGTTTTTACTGGATGTTCCTTTAAAGTTCAAATAACGCTTTGTGTTTAGAAAAATGTTAATTTTTGCATATTTATATCATTGTGACAGTAGAAATTATAGCATTTCAATATAAGATCAACTAAAAATGAGTTTTAATTTGGAATAATRTTTAAGTTTGCTGACAAGGATTAAATGAACTGATTTGTTTTGCTGTAAATGCCAACTATTGTAGAGTTTCTGACAAAGCTGTGTGTGCCGCTAATTATCCTGAAAGCTTTATGCTGTGTGTAAAATACAGCTGAGTAAAATAGATTTTTATTTATTTTATTTATAGAAATATATACTGTATCATTTCTTGAATTACTTGAATATATTTTAAAGGTACTCATCGCAAAGTCGTGAAGACCAGACACCAAAACAATCATTAAGAAACAAAATGTGTACGATTGTAAGATTTTTACTCCTTGACGAGTTCGAAAATCAACGATTAATAAAAAAAACAAAAAACCCACTGCATTTATTTGTTTACCTACAGAATCAATCGATCAGATGTCGCCGTGTTTGTCAGCCTCATGTCAAGTGTTTTGTTTACACCGAGTGAGGACCCACATTTCAGATCAACACCGTTTACTTTTTCTATGTTTGATTTCATTGTTTGTGATGAGAACCTTTAAACAAAGTTGTTTCAGTGCAAAYGCCTTCAGATGTGAAACGAAGCAGAAACTCCTTTAACTGAACTTTTTATCAACAGTTTGGTTTTGTTAAAGGACATTTAGAGAAAGATGAACTCAGGAACTGAACGGTGACTGGAAAAAAACGAAAAGTTTGATCATTTGCAGTGAAAAGAGATTTAAACGTGATCTCAGAGCAGATTCTGTAAACAGATTGTTTATTTTTGTTGTTGTTGCTTTAGTCTGTGCAGAAATGTGTGAGAAGAACTAAATAAAAGATKTTGAAACTTTTCTGCTGTTGTTGAACTTTTAACATCTGGGAAAATTGCTTTGATAAATAAAACTTGCTTTAAATCAAACCAACTTATTTAAAGTTGGAAAATATTGAAATTTTCTGAAGTTTTATTATTTTTGACCCTACATGTGCAAAACTTTAGACAATAAAGTTGGAATTGGCTGATAGTAACCATTTTTTAAACTTAAAATAAAATTCAGATTGTCATTGAACTAGCCGTTTAGTTACAATAAAGACAGCAACTTTGGGGCAAAGAAAGTTACAATATAAACATTGGGAATGCTTTTATTTTGAAATGCTACATCAGAAGTTGCTCAAAATTGTTGAGGAACATTCATTAATTCATTCATTCATTCGTTTATTCATTTCATTAAAAAACATTTTTTTATACACAATAAAAATAAAAATACAAAACAATGAAATGAAAGGAAGCAGAGAGAAGAACATAATCGTATATCTTAAATCTTATTTTATCTAATCCCACTTTTATCAAGCAGGCCCTGCTAATCTGAGCCTAACAAGAACAGAAGTCAGCTGAAGAAGCAAAGCTGACTAAACTTAGAATAAAAGACAAGAAACACAAAGATTAAGGCTACAAATCTGYAGAAAGCTGCMAACTAGAAGGAAGCTTTAACTGTTTGTGACATGAGGTTCCTGAAAGCAGCCTGGCTGCTGCTTCTGGATCCTGGACTGAGACTGTTTTACACACTGAACTGAGCTTCACACACATGAGCTCTGTGCAGATCCTGGAGGTTTCTCACAGATGAATCTGGAAGGATTAATGCAGATGTTGGAAAAATATACGTTGTTCAAAATTGTATGTCCAAAATAAAAGAGGAATCCAGTTGAATTTCTTCTTTAAATCTTTATTTTTGATCTTCTGACTCCAATCAGGTTCACAGTACAGCACTCAGCACAGCAAGACCTTCGGCTGAACCAAAACAAACAGACAAGAGCTCTGCTCTGAGCAGACACTCTGCAAAAACACTGACAACTTCTTTTCATTATAATAATGAATAGAGCTTATGTCTTTCTTCCAGGTTACATCCTTGGAGGTGTTATATTTTATGCCAGATGTCAGAACGTACTCAGTTTTGTTTAGGCTAAGGAAAGAACACATGATAAGACACATGATAACCTTACAGGCTGAAATGATCATAAAGTATAAAATACAATACTGCATTTAATATTCAATTAATCAGTTACATTTCCTTCACAGGGCTGATCATTCCAGATCACCATCTGCTCTGTCTACTTTTAATCCCACACAGTTTTCTCCATAAGGATTTCCCATAGTGTTGGGCTCTCCGTTGATCCAAAAACTTAAATCAAAACATTAAGAACAGCAAAAACAGGTTATTTTAACTCTGACAGAACTCAGTTTATTTTGTGAAGTAAACAAAAATGTTTTCCTCCATAAAATATAACTTTCATCCAGAGGTGATGTTATGGCCAATGTCCATTTGTGTGTAAAAGGTTTGTGTGCAGGTGGAGACTCAGACTGTCTGCATCCCGATTGGACC